AAAGCACAAAATTTGGCACTGCAATGTAACATGTGCAGCAGAGTCCCACAGGAACAAGCTCTACGCTATGCAATGCTGCCACTTGGGATTACTTGGAAATTGTGACAATTGCGCCCTGTATTTCACAGGACGATGGGGGCAATCTTCGAACTCCTGGCAAATATGAGCATTGGGCGCATGTGTCGTGGAGTGACAACTTTGCTCCGCTCTTCCAGAAAGTGCGGCACATTGCGAGTCTGTGAAGGGACTAAGTATGCTTGTCACAGCGTGCTTGCAGGCAGCATGGCAAATACGTCCATATCGTCAACTTTCGATCCACAGGCTTCGCTGCCCACAGGAAAAAATGCATGGAACTGGCATGCATCAGGACTTGGTGCTGGAGAAGTACTCTTGCATGCAATGCAGCACGAGCTGCTGGAGGTGCACTGCAACCTTGGCTAGCGCCTCACCCAAAGGCGTGCACTATGCAGAATGTGCCAAATCCACGACGTGAACTCACCACAGGAGAGCATTTTCCTGGAAGCCGAGTTGGACACTGCACCAGCCAAGCAGAAGCAGAAACGTCAGAAATGCAGAGAATCGCTGAAGATGTTGTCCAAGCACGCCGCCACATCCGCAGCGCGCCGCGCTCTCATGATGACGTGCAGATGCCTGAGCCAAAGGCAAGCATGCATGCGATCTCCGCCGATCGACGGCGCCATCACGCGTGCACATGCGATGCCGTGCGGCGGGGCCACATGGCGCGGCCTATTGCACACAGGGGTGCGCGGCCGTCGCTCGCGCGGCGCACAAAGCCGCAATCGCCACCAGGTCCAAGTTGGTCAAGAAGGAATCTCCGCCAGCGCCGGTGCGCTCAATTGCGTCGCAGAATCCCCGCGATCGCAAAATTGCCACAGACTCCGCGTGTGCGACACAAAGCAGGCAGTCCTTGGAACAATCGCCCGACCAGAGAGCTTTGGACGTAGCGAGCCCTGCACGGTGCGTGCGCTCCGCCCACATGGGAGCTCGGAGAAGCTTGCATGCGCACCATCCTCTGTCCATGCCCCGCCTCGCAAAACGCATTGGACTCGGATCCAGTGGAGCAAACACGCTGCTTTGTGCGCGCGGCGAAGGTTGCATGGCCGGGCCACCCACAAAGCGCGTTGGACCATCGTTTGGACAAACAGCGCACCAGCCGCAGACAGCCCCGCCATTGAACCTCCAAAGGTGGCGCCCGCGATCAAGCTGCTGCGCATGGGGAGCGATGCATGGGGCGTCCTGGCGATTCCCCGCAAATCCGGCCGGTGTCAGCCGGCGTAGCGCACCTCCCGTCGCCACGGTCTCCTGGACCTCCAGCCCATTGGCCGCGATGGCACCAATCACCAGCACCAGCGCCAACAGTTGCCGAGACGCCATGGCTCCGGTTCCCTCTCTGCGGCCGCGATCCCAATGCCGCAGGAGCCTTTCGATTGACGTCGGCCAGGTGCGCCGCCAGCATTTAAGGGATGCGTGCCCTTACTGTGCCAGAGCTGTCGCTTTCAGCCGGAGTCAGAGGTGACCCCCGTTTGAGTGGGGCGTCAAGGTGAAATTCACGCTGGAGACCTCGACCAAGTTGTTTGGCTTCTTCATTGGGATGGAAGCCATTACTGTCCGAGACCTCGACGGGCGCGCGTAAGGGCAATATGATAGAAAGCAATCCGATGCAACGTTGACGAAGGCAGGCACAACCGAGGGGTGGCGACGCCTGACAGGGCACTGTCGGTTCGAGTACATTACGGGTCCCTACATGGCGCCCCCCCCAATAGCGGCCCCTGCCCCCAATAGCGCTTTTTTGGCTTGTCACCACTTTTGTAGTACTTTATGCAGTTTTGTTGCGCAGTGGGGCCTTAAACTAGTACAGGGGGGGCCTGGGTTTAACGACTCCCTGAACGGCTTGTCATAATTCCCGTAGAACTTTATTTCACTGTGACACCAGCGCCCGCGACTTTGGCCCTGCAAAAGCCAGTATGGGCCCGGTAGGCCGAGTGCAGCGTACCTACAACGGCGGCCAAGGTACCATCTACAACGGCAGCTGGGGTACCCGTTACACTGGTTACCATGGTACCCCCCACACTGGCGGCCAGGGTGCCCCTATACCGGCAGCTGGGGTACCCCCTACGCGGGAAGCTAGGGTACCCCCCACACCAGCAGCTTACGGTACTCCCTGCACTGACGGCCAGGGTACCCTTTACACTGGCTGCTTAGGGTACTCCCCTTAACACAAAAGCGCCCCCGGCCCCCAATAGCGCCCCTCTTTGATGATGTCAACCGGGGGGGTATAAAACCCCTACTGTACATGGCAGGGTTTACAGCGGAGCAAAAGTGCAACAGGAATTCTGTCCCTTATTTCCTGTCCGTTCATCAATGTCCTCACCGCAATTACTAATGCCTCATCACCTCTCTATGCTTCCACCTGTTAATAGCACTCGATCAGTTCTTGTTATGACAACGCAGCACGGCAAGGAAGATCAGAAGTGGCCGGCGTGGGGCTGCCAGCATAGCCAGCGAATGAGGCAACATAGCCAGTTTTGAGAGCCAGAAAGCCTGTCGCCAGGATTGCAAGGTGGCAATCGGCTGGCAGATTGCAATGGTAACAGGCCGGTTGGCCGATTTATGGTTCACACACATTCATAATCTGTCATGCAGTGGGCAGAGAACGGCTGTCGTGTGTGGGGAGCAGTGTACTCTGTACTATAGGATGCAGATCAAGGGGAATCGGCTGTTGTGGTGCGAACGGGGGCAGCTTCATTGCTGGAGTTGGCTCGGGGAATCGGGCTGGAAAACGGTCGGAAGCCTGGGAGTGGACAATGTACAGGAGTAGCTGGTCACCAGGGGGCCTGACTACCAGGTGGCCTATTTGATAGCGGTACATAGGCGATGAAGACTGTGGGAACAGAAATTTGGCAAAGAAAATAGACACAGACACGGCCATCTTGTGCGAGTGAACAGAATGGGGATATAAACGGAGCAAGCAATGAACTGTAGCATCAATGGACTTCAAATAGCACACATCTCACCTTATCACCAAACAATACGCAAAAGAAGAGGTCAATCGAACACCGGATGGATGTTGCCCCAGCGGCGAGCCACGGCAGTGTAGGATGCTTGGCTTGTGTGGGCTTATGTGGGCCTGTTTGCTAATTTCCCCTTACACAGGCAGGATAGTGTATAGAAATCTGTGGAATCCAAACCCCCATTTCAGATGTTCAGCACCGTCCGCCAAGAGTACAGGGCAACGTTCAATCTTTGCGAATGTTAAAAGTTGGGTGTTAAGACTTTGACCCCGTAGTGCATTAGACAAATAATTTCATTTTGCTTCTGCGCTTCCTGCATCCCCACCTGGCCCAGGTTGGGCGGAACTGTGCACTTGCCAAGTTTCGATAGAATGCCACGGTTTCCCAGCCTTTCCTTTGAAGGAAAATATTTAAATTCAGCATTAAAACACGCCTTGCTGCAGGCGTCCAGCCCGCCAGCACCCCCAGACAAGCCGTTCAAATGCTCTCGGGGGCTGGTCCTGGACTGCGATGATGCTGGCATATGCCCGCAATCGCTTCCAACGCTGCCGGCGTGCACCCCGCCTTCTGCCAGCCGAGTACCGCTGAAATTGCAACCACACCAAGTGTCCTTCACTGCAGTGCCATCATTTCCGCGCAAGGACTCGTGCTGCTGCCCCGCCAGACGGCGCCAAAGTCCAGAGGACCATGTGATGCAGCAGGAGCCGTTTGCGAATGCAGGCGCAGTGCTTTGCACTGCAAAATTTTGCGTAAGCCTTTTCGGTGCGGCGCTGCCACTCATTGAAAGTGCGGGCTGCGAGCCCATATGCGCTTGGAGGCAGCCAGGGAACTATTTTGGGGGGCTAAGCATATTTGAACACCGCAACGGCTCATTGTTTCTCCGCATGAACCGGCCCAGTGTTTGTTTCAGTGCTGACGGATTAAATACGATACGTAATTTGGAAGTGCGACCTCGCGGATTCCCGTGGTTGCGCAGGGTGTGGTCGCGTTTCTCGCATTAGACCCCGGTTACGGGGTGTGAGAGGTCGGCAATGTCAAACTACACTGATGGGATAGTTTGGGGTTTCCTCGTGCTTTCGCAGCTGCACATATTGACACACACTCCAGCCTGGACTGCATGAGTGGAACCCCGCGGTGCACTGCCTGATGGGACAAGTCGCGACCGTGGGTCCCACTGATAGTTACTACTGCGGTCGTAGATTAGAGCATGACCACTGCATGAAAATTGCGATGCCGAAACTCTTGAACAGGTCAGATGGCGCCCATGTGCTGTTTACAACAAGGTCCTTGAAGACATGGGGAAGAATGGCACGAGCTGGAACATAGTGGGGTAACGTGACCAGGATCCACGTCAACCCAAAATCAACCAAGGAATGCAAGTCTGCTGGTGGATTGGTCACTTGAGGTAATCTTGCGAAATTGCAACAAGAGACGGCCACCGATAAGCTTTGTGAAACGGAGGTAGTAATGCGAAGCAAGACAGACAAAACTGCACCATCCACGGCCGTCAGAATGTCTTATGGCACAGGTAGCTCCACGTCACTCAGGCCAGTGTCAACCATGCCACCAAAGCCAGAGCCCAGGATTCCCAATTTGCACCAGTGCAGCCAACACATGTCTCACCACAAAGGCAAGCTTCCCAAATGCCCATTCGTTCCATCGACATGCCGACGACCTCGCCGCTGGCGATGGAACACAAAAAACCGACGCTATTCTGTGCGTCGCATAGGCGACGACGTTTCGGGACAATAATATGTGCGCAGCCGGAACCGCGCCATGCAGCGCATGTTGAGGCGCACGCGAACGCGGCCGACACCTGAAGTTTCGACAATTGGGCTTCAGGAGCCGCCATGACGACTCCCCTATATGATCAAGGTTTCCATTCTCAGGAACGCTAGACACAGGTGATGTCCCCACCAAGAGCTAAACCGGAGTTGAGTTCAAATACACAGCCACCCTCTGAGTCGCTCAAGAAGCCTCCACGACGTGCTGCTCGGCCCCTCCTGGGGGCGCATCGCCTTGGGACCCTCCACAGCAGCAGCCCACCTTCTGCGCAATGTACTGCCGCGCCCTGGCCAAGCCAGGGCCCACGTGCTCCACCACGATGAACATCTTTTCCACAAACAGCGCAAAAAAGGCGAGGGCCTCGAAGCATATCATGGTGATGCCGATGTTCTTGCGCCGGTTGTCCGTCTGCATGGTTGCCGAGAAGAGGACGATCGCCAACGTGAAGACAATGATGTCGGCGAACTCGGCGAGCAGGGCCACCGCCATGTCGAGTCTGCGCACGAAGGGCTGCGTGGACCGTATCAAGAAGAAGAATACCGTGGATGTGACGACAAGCACAATCTGCATGCGCACACAGAGTTGCGCACTCAGCGGCACGTTCGTCCTGGTGGCAGCGGACGTGAAATGAGACGCAGAACGTAAGACGGAGTGACTTGAGGCCATTGTTGGATGCTGGTGCTGCAGGGCGCTGCCAAAGCACAAAGAACACACGCAATTTGTGGCCAAGGGCCGCTCAGACCAACGGCAGGGAGACGCAACGCTGGCACGGGATGTGGACACAATTGCATCCCATTTCGACATGAATACCCCCACATGCAATTGTGCAGGGGGACTCCGTGCATCTGTACTGGGACATGGCCACGCAGCTGGTCATCGCCCCTCAGCCGTGACCAGTTCCCAGTCAGCCGCGCAGCGTTGTTGGCAACTGCACTGTGCTTCCGCTGCGTGCAAACACTGGCGCAACGCTTTTCTTTTCACGCGTCCAGGAAAAGGAGTGCCAGGAATTCGAAGAGCGGCACAGGGTGTGATGCACACAGTTGGCGCGCACCAGCTGGGGCAGGTTGTCCTTCTCGTCCTCTCCATGTAGAAGGACGGCGAAGAACACGAGTTTTGCAAGCAGCAGGGCGCCCATGGCCGTCTGTATGTAGTGCTTGTAGAATGGAACGGTAGCCGCCGGGCCCTTCCGCCTGACTGAGGGGAACATGAACAACGGCTTTTGCGGCAGCGGATTGAGCACGCTCTTAGGATCCGCTTGACGAACATTTTTGCTGTTCCCCGTCGAAAGGTCGCTCCTGTGAGGGACACACGCAGCACGAGGCAGATCAATGCCGCTAAAAGGGCGAAAATCGCGAGTTTGACACGATTTCATTCCGTAACGATACTCCGTACTAATTCTTTATTCAATTTCGCATTACCAGTTGCATTATCGACGCCCTCTTTGATGCTAAGATTATGGACGTGGGTCCCTATCACGAAGCCCTGCAGCGGGTACGCATGAAGTCAATAGAAACTATGTATTGTGCACGTTAATTGCTGCAGGATTCGATTGGCAATTGGCAATGGATTAGCCACCGCCTCAAGTGCACTCAAGTAGAATTTAGATATCGCTCAATGCCCCTGATGTATTGGCGTTGTAGTCCTTTCCCACAAAGTGCACTCGTTTTCAGCAGCACTATTCTGGGGTTCACGGTACACTCGCCAGCAAATGCATCCCGGTTTCAACAAGAATACTGCAGCACTGGAGGATAGTCCGATAACTATCATCACAGGATATAAAGGTCATGAAGGGATTCGCGAAGGGCATGGATGTCAGGCATCCAAAACCCTAAACCTAAGCTAACAATTTAAGCCGAAAATGCCATTCATGACCTTCATGCCTTCATGTACGGGAAACGAAGGGTGTCAGACAATTGTGCAGCACTCGACGGAGCGCCCATTGTGTTGTAAGGAATGGCAGCACCAATGCCTACCGATCTGCACCCACCTGTGGACCACCACATGCCCACGATAGTCTTCAAACATGGGGCCAAAGCGCTCCACGAATCGGGCGTGGCTGCTGTGAGTGGACACCCATGTCACCTTCTCCAGCTTGGGTCCAAGCGTAGGCTTGACAAGGTACTTGCTGAAGAAACGTCTACTCGAGCCGGTGCCGGTGCCAGCAACAGTCGTCTGCATCGGTTTGGAGTCCCCAAAGACCAGTGAGTCTTCTTCCTTCATGGCCTCCAACTGTTCCCCTTCCGCAGGCTCTGCGTCCCCTTTCCCAGCAGGGGATGCACCTCGCTGGTCATCCTGCAGTTTGGCACCATTGTGACTTGCATTGGACACACCTGCAGCTGGGAGCAGTGCCAAAGAGCTGCTCATGCCAGCTCCATTGGCCATGCTCTTTGCGTCCACCGCTTCTGATGATGAGTCAGCATAATTTTCCCTACCCTTGGAGGGGTAGCCCCTGCGTTTTGTTGCGACGACCAGATTGGCACCACGCTCGTGGGGCTCCGGCTTGTAGAAATGCCGCCACAGCATGTGGAAGTACCAGGCGAGGTACACGCCAGGTATGAAAATGAAAATAGCTGCACCAAGGATCACGTCACCTGCGACCAAGCATATTCGTTGGCGTGTGATTCGGACTTGACTTGCTGTGCTGAAACTGACAAGCACAGCCTCTGCAAGCTCAGGTCTGTAGTTCACATGCCATATCCCTCTCCAGCAAGAGACATGGAGCAGCTGTTCATTGAGGCTGAGTTCTGGCGATGTACAACAAGGTACACTGCAAAATGGATTCAACGAAGATTAAAGCAGGTTCACACCTGGAATCCCTGTGCACAGCTGCTTTGATCTGCATTGAATCCATTTTGGAGTGCACCCACAAATCGTGGTCGAGGATTCTGTGCCTTGCAGCTGGGCTGCACGGTTTTCCTCTGCAAATGGCCCGCATAGCTGGCAGTGGCCACAGCGAACCAATGTCCAGTCTGCGATCTCGGCAAGCAGCTCTTACTGTTGCAGTACTGAAAGTAGGGTTACCCCATAGGAGCACCATGCGTGCAATGCGCAAGGCTCCGACCTTGTACTGAAAGTAAAAATACATCCAGCACCACCATGAAGAAAGCACAGTTTAGAAGCCAATAGACACAGACAAACGTGCTGCAGTATTGGGAGACAAAAATCACAGGGCAACATGTCAAATACGACAATTCCGGGCTTCAAAACAACTGCCAGGACATTTCAAATATATGGACAACGGATACATCGAACAGGGCGTCTTAGGAGAGAATTTGGCGGCAAAAGTCCAGATGTGGCTTGCAGCTTGCTCTAAGTAGCAAGTCACTGTTCCATTTGGATCACGTCTACACATTTCATGCGCTCACCTGTGTCCCCTGTCATCAGAGACCCGCTTGCAGCAGCTATGGCTGGGACTGCCCATTCACAGGCATATAGTTCCAGCCTTGGGAATGCAAAAATCTTTGGAATGGCCCTCTGCATACAATGCAGCAAAAGAAGGATAAACAAATGAATGGACACCAACCCTCCGAACAGGACCGCTACCCAGAAGAAAACTCGACGGGCTGTCTCACGTGGATCTGTGGTGAAAAGAAATTCTTGTACATCCTGCAGCATGGTGCCAAAAGCTGAATCAGTTGAAAGCAACCTCAATGACAATGGCAAAGGGAAAATCAAGTACAGTCGGTATGTTCAAAGGCTGCCCATGCCTAAGAAGTCTCTGTAGTTCCAGGCAACTTGCTGGAAAAACAAGCAGATCGCCAAACGCCAAGACATGTCTTCAAATCAGAACTAAGCAAACTCTCACAGTTGCAAGTTCAACCACAAGTTCAGTGCCGTACCCAATACAGCACAGAATAGCCACCACACTCACATTCCTTGTGTCACTGCAAGGGAAACTTGTGATTGACCTGCCAACTGTAGGCCACAATCTCTGTGATCCATTGCCACATCCCCAACCACAACTCTAAGAATTCAAATTTTAGGCCCCAAAGCCCAACCTCTGATCATATTCCCAGTGACAGATGACAAGGTTCAGACTTGGGTTACGGGAACCTTTTAACATTGGGAGTCCCATCAGCACAACTCCCAACAGCCACGGCTGATTTGGGAGCAAGTTGGAGAAATGTGTCAGGTCCTGCATACTATCATGTAGTAACTTTCGCATGATACATTCTGTACACTTTCATCACACAATCCATTGCTTTACACATTCACTGGCAAAGATCGGCCTTGCCACTTGTCTTCAGGCCATGAACATGTGCATCATAACACCAACAATCATCTATCTGCACAAGTCTTGACAGAATGCCAGTCTTGCATGAGGCTCCTTCAGCCGCTGGCAGCATCGCACTGACATATCAGTGTGACATGAGGCTTTTCCAACTCCCCGTATCTGCAATTCTGCACATATCAGAGCGAGGCCTTGCAGATGTGCCTCATATGGATTCCCGGAGGCTGTTCGGCACCATGCATACCTCGATTCGGTCAAGGGGGTTTTCTGAGCCATCTTCGAGGCCATCTGGAATAGGAGCCTGCAAGAGCTTTCTGTTGCTTTCTCTACTGTCATCTTCTTGATTTGTGGCAGTTGCCTTCACATCATCCTGATAGAAATACCACCCAAAATCACCATCTAGTGGCAAGAATACCAAAGATTTGCGTGCTCACAGGCACATGAACTTGACTAATAACAGTGACCACCCTCCAAGCTTGGTCCCATAATTCCCGTTCCGACACACTGGCACTTTGTCTGCAACTTCGAAGATTGAACTAGTTTCTAGTTTCTGGTTCGTTGAGTGGCTGGGACAACACATCAACCTCTTTTGCCATCCATGGTCAAGGGCATCAAATGTGCCTTTTGGCATCCAAGGATCAGCACTAGGCCTAAAGACAGCAATTCCAATTCTGGCTTTGCACTTCCTAAAAATTTGGAAATCGCATGGAACATGCACAAAACACAGAAACAGACATCATGTGCCAACAGCTAACAAATAGCCTGAGAAATACTTTCCCGTTCAATGCACTGCCACAAAATGAACGTGCCCACCCCATTCACTTAAACGACAGTGCAGCGTTTGACTTCCTCTATTGCAAATACTTGCACAACACACAGTCTGAAGCAAGATCCCTATTCACAAGCCATTCACAAGGTAACCGCATGCTGTTGTGTTGCCCAGTAACAAGCAACTCCCATTTCCTTTTTGCAATCGACAGGTGGGGACCTACCATCCCCAAAGCCTGAGCATCAAGAAATTTGGCCCAGCCTGGCTTGGCAAGGTTTCAGGAGTACGGTTTGGGGCTGCAACTCTCTCGGGTTCTGCTGTACTGGGACTCTGGAATAAGTCTACAACGACAATGCTCATTATGCTGTGCGAAATCACAATGCTTGCACTTATCAGGCAATGTCAGACACTGTCTGCAATCACCAGTGCTAGTTTCAGTTCCCCACAAATAGCCACAACAGCCTGGCAGTCCAATGGAGAAAAAGAACACACTCTCGTTCTGCATCACATCCATCAACCTGCACTTGCAAAGAAGCCCAAAGCAGGGCTGGTTGTCACCTCGCTGTCACTCGATTTCCAAGGAAGCTGCGCGTTCAAGGCAGTCCATTTCAAGTTCGATGCCATGACTTTGTAGTTCTCCGGAAGGTGGCTGGAGGCCACGAGGCTTGTGAAGTACACCTTCTGCCCCATGTTCAGCATCTCCAGTCCGCCAGCCAGCGCGCTGCCTGAACTGCCCCCAGCTGCGCTACCAATGACTGCAGGCCAGCAACAAACATGCAGCGTAAGAGCTCCCCAGGCGACTGACGCCTCAACCATTAGTGCAGCCCTGTTTGCCGAAATCATAGTCCACACAGTGTTATTGCAATCCAAACCCTCAACTCCGAGCCACAATTTATGTCTACAGGTTCAGAAAAGAACCGCAGCATTGCTGCATTGCTGATAACTGCCGCGTGGCAACAGGATCATAGGCCTCATCACCAACGTGCTCCAGGGACCACAGGGACCATCCGCCAGAACGAAACTAGGCTGAATTTCCCATTCCGTCCTTTAGATCACATCCGTGAGACATAGCAAAGCACACTTCAAGATGGCATTGGGGTAGAACATCGTGTAGTGTACGATGATGTGCATATGGTGTGCTGATCTGCAGTGAATGGACACGCCCTACTGGTCCTGTGAATGCAAGCATGCACCACACATCGTCCCCTGGGTAAAGTCGCTCATGGTCAATCAATGTCCTTGAGCACAGTCCGGGGCAAAACCTATTTCCAAAACCTTGAAAATGGAAACTTTCTTTGCCGGATTCTTTCACGATCATGCACATGATGAGTGGAGAGAGCACGATCCTACAAGACTATGTCATATATGTTTGCCATGGTAGAATCAACAGATTGACTGCACCCTGAAATGTGATGTGCTACTCTGCAATGGTAACAAGAACCAAGAGCCAAGAAGGTCTACTCCCATATGACGATTTTCAAGCTTATCTTCATGCATACTGCAAAAAGAACACATTGGTTCAAACTCCTTAACAACAGCTGGAAAAAAACTTGCGCTGAGACCTACCAGGCGCTGTCATGGAAGTTGATACAGATGTCCCAATGGCTGTCACTGCCGATGCAGCCATTGTGGTCACAACAGCTGCTGTTGCTGCTCTGCCAACGGCATCTGCTGCAGTCTCATTGTCACCCGAACCCAGAGGAGGCAAGAAAACGAATTTCAATGTGAATGTCTTGTTTCCTCCAGCCGTCCCATTCGTAAATTCACCCACCCCTCCACCAATCCGATTTCCAGAAAAATCCATGAGGCCAGCATTCGGGATGACAATAGTGACGTTGGCATCTTGCCCATCTATCACAAAAGCTGTCACCACAGCCGTGCCGGCTACATGATCCTGTTCTATGGTCCATGTGTCAGCACCCGTCACATTTACCACTGTGCGCCAGTCTTTGGCAGCAAGGTCAAGGTTGCAACTTTGGGATGATGCCAACACATCCAGGACACCGGTGTCTGAGTCCAAAGCAGGCATATCTGCATCGCAGGTTATGTCTTGTGTGACAACAACGCTCTCCCTAAAGTCCAGATCAAAAATGGCGGTTGTCCGACGTTTGGCAATTCCCCCAAAGTTCACCCTTGGGGGGTCCGTATCATAAAACATGGACACATTTCGGCTGAAACCTGCCCAAGTCGCTGTCAACACTGCTGGTGTTTCCTTCTGCAGCAACGTGACCCTGATGGTAGAGATCTCGTTGGTGATCGGTTGTGGACTGTCTACCGCTGAGTCTGGAATGACGCTGATTTCTGCCAAGGCATCGTCGACCTGTGGGCAGAGAGATGAGAACTATCAAGAGTGTGCACCATTTGGGAATTGAGCACCACAGGCAAGATGACTCAGGCAATAGAATAGGCATTATCCTCTTCACCTGCAAGCTGGAGCAATTTTCTAGGTGAAAATGGCGAATCACAATGGGTGCATGTCCAAGGCAGAATTCTGACAAGTCCAACAACCCTTGTCAGCTGTAACTGCCAAGCTCATAGTTGCCATTTACAGTCTGAAAGGCAATTTCGTGACTGAAAGTGACAAGCCACAGGTACTGCCAGACATGATCATAGAAGAACAAGTACTAATTTTGAGGACAAAATGAAACGAACAACAACAAGTGCACCAAGAGTTCATAGCCATACAACGTACACAGACTGATGCGCTATTTCAGGGAAACGTACAATTGCATGAAACCAGCTTCTTATCAGGTTGGCAGCAGCCAGTTTAAGATCATGGGTGTGCCAAGAGGTGTTTCTTGCAGTCCTGGTTCAACTGTGAATTCCATGCATCCACATGATTCGTCTGCTGATGGGTAGGCACAACTAAACAAGACTGGTGCATCAACGCCACAGTGAGCTGGGACAATACATCACCCCAATGTTGGCTCAAAGCTTGTGCATCAAAGCCGCAGTGAGCTGGGACAAGACGTCACCCAATATTGGGGCACCCTTAACGAGGCAACAAACAAACAGGCAGAACAGGCAGTACCTGATATTCGGGCTCAGGGTTGAGAGCTATTGGAAAGCCATCTTCATCCACAACCGAGAAAATTAGATCCAACTCCCTCTGCCGGGTGTAGATGACGATATCTTGTGAGCAAGGCTCTAGGGGAAAGGAGGCGGCCTCGTTGTTGGCATCGGCATTGCAGAGGAACAAGGAAAAGGAGCCCTGGGCTGGCAGAAGAGCACGAGTTCCCTGTGGAGCAGTGGCATTCAGGCCATCACTTGCACGCAAATTGCAATAAACAGACACAAAACTGCGGTGGTCAAATCATTAGTCCACAGTTTTGCAAGGCTACTGCTGGACATTTACATTCTAGCGTAGTGACATTGTGCTGCCGCAATAAAAATAAGGAAAAAAAATCTTGTGGTATGTCTACATGACATGTATCCACAGAATGAAGCAGGTGCCCCAAAACTAACAAATTGATAAAAAGAATATGCCACACTGTGCCACCAAAAAATTTCTCTGATGGAGCTCAATCCACCAACATATCTGGTCCCAAAGGAGCTGCCTTCCATGATATTTTCGCTCTTGCACAGCTTGGGGGGCCGCCATCTCAGGGCCACTACCTGTTTCAGCTCTTCTGAAATTCTCTTGCTTAAACTTGCAATCTTAATGCAGTGGCTCTGGTGACCAGCATTTATGCAAAGCCACTAATGAATCTTTGCAAAGTCATTACCATACAGATAGATGTTCACAATATGTTCTGGGATGAGGGCTAGTCCAAATTTGGATCGGTTGATGTGCATGCCCTCCAAGCATGCTCCTGCATTAAAAATCGAACCAAACGTTGGTTGTTCTCTGGGCATGCCAACATGGGCTGAGACAACAGTTAAGTCCCACCCAGCAAGCAAAACTACAGGCAAAATCGAAGGATGAACTTCTCTCCTGCGATGACCGCAAGAGCAAAAGAATAGAATCGCAAATTATATATGTATATGATCCTATTGTTCCCATGGGACTGGGCTTGTCGTCTGCAGTTTCAGATGAAAAACTGCAGCCAGAAGCAAGTGGCAAAACTCAGGGTTTCAGGCATGGCCAACAGATGAAACTCACCCCATCAAAAACAAGTGCAGTTGTTTCGGAAGCTGCTGGATACAACACAGGTACCAAACAACTTGTCCTCATTAGCCGGGTCAGAAGCACCTGTGCGCAGAAAATAAAGCGCTGTCAGTTGGCGTCAAATTAATCACCTAAAGGACACAAATTCCACACAACACCTGCGCTTTCAGAGCTACCTACACGATTTTTGCACAACCACTGACCCTTACAAGAACACGCAGATGACTGGTACTCGTCCAAAGCAACAGACAGGAAATTTTGATACAATACCAATTGAACAAAGTTTGTATCCCTCAGCCGCATCGTAGGCAACCATGATGCATGGATAGGTTACCACCCACCAAGTGGTGTCAAACGACCACCTGATAGAGGACCATAAGGTGGATGTCATGCCTTGCTGCATTGGAACACTGCACGAGGAGGGTTGCCAACCGCATAACACTTTACTGTTTTTGCATCACAGCACTTCTGAACTGTTCCTTGAGAGCTTCCGGACAGCTTCTGAGGAGTTCTTCAGCTATCAGCAGTGCATCCAGTCTGTCCTCACCAACATGAACAGCAGCACGCGCCATTCTGCTTTCATCGTTCCCAGCCTGTCCTGCAAGAAAATGAAATGGTCAGCAACAAGCAACCACATATGTGATACAAAAATTTCGTATATATTCCATGCTATTGTGAATACCATTTCATGGTCTTGAGCAATGACTGCCTAGATGGAGTTGGATGCTGAAACAGACAACACATTCATGTGTCACAACACCAAAATGCCGAGATCTGCTCTATCTGGGGCGGGGAAATGGTCCAGTTCCAGCCACACTTTGCTAGAGCAAGGTGCAGCGGACTGTTCAGTGCTTAGCACATAGATGCAGGAATTTGAGCTTGCTTTCTGGAAATGCACATGGAGCCATCCGCAAATCTTCATTGGCTGATTGGGTTTAGACTAAAAGATAATTGTGTGAAGACTGCAATGGCATTCATGTTGGAACTGGGAAAGTCCTTCCAACAATATCCATCTGCTATACCTCAATATGAACAACATATAGCAATGCCAGACATGATGAAGCACTGGATGAGCGTGTTGATTATTTGTCATTCCTAGACAGATGCCATTGCACGTAAGTGTGCTGTTGGTTTGGGACTTCGATGTGTCACCATCTCTGCCATGTCCATTCTCCTGTGAACAAGCTATTAGAGTCGATGCTCATGTCTCCCATTCCCAAACCAGTGCAGAACAATTAGCAGAGGGAACAGATCAAACAATTTGTCCTGCTTGAGCTCCTTGAGTAATCATTCAAGTTTCCAACCATAGTTTATATGCTGTACAAAGAAACGCTGTGTGGAACATCAATCATACATGAGTGAGCTATGTTTTCTTATTTTGGCCAAACCTGACAAGCAAGTCCTCCTAGCTGGTGCTTGTGTGTGATTTGTTTATGGCAGGGAAGCAGCACCAAAGCAACGCTACCATGGCATGACCTTCCAATGGGAGACCAAGCCAGCTCTGCTTGGATACTAGCATGCCTGACGTCCCCATTTATTTGTTCAGTCTCTTTCATGGCTTTTCAGCTAATGCAACCCATGGAATGTACAGACCCACAGTAATTTTGCTGACCATGTTGATTGTTACTTTCTGCACACTGTTCCTCCCTGCATGGCAAGATCACATTCTCATCCAGGTGCCACCAGCTCATTCAGTAATGACAAAAGTTGTGACAGCAATATGATTTGCACATTTCATTGCCAACCTTGGTGCCAGTGTTGTGCACTGCATCAAAATATCTTGCTGTGTTAGGACTAAGTGTGTCTTTGCTGTGGAGAGACCACATGCATGTTGGCTCTGGAGGGTGTCATGTCACAGTCCCCATGCTGGCTTGTCTCTACAATAGATCCACAAGCTCAAAGCAACATTCCTGAACAGGCCCAGTGTTGTCCAACTGACCCATTCCTAAAAAGCAAGGAAAAGAAGACCTCCACAGTGGAGCAAGAACTTACTCAAGTGTTTGTGTAACGCGCACAACAGAGGAATGCATCGCAGAATCGTGATGCACGCCACAGGAGAAGCACTGCTCTCGTCCAAATCGAGAGTTCATCTAGTACGAAACTTAACGTTCATTTACTGGGTGAGCAGATGCATAATTCCTGTTCCAGACTGCCGGCTGCTTTTGTGTCAATTAGCTAAATTTCCAAAAATCAGTGTACGCCGTCACGGGACCTGGTGCATCCGGTCCTGTGGCACCGGAACTGATATATTTCTGACCCCAGGCTCGCACATGGCTCCTGGCAGCACGATGGCAGCACTTCGCCGTTACTTTTCGCCGGATCCGACGAGCCCCTAGCCCCAAATCCTGCACCGCTATTCCTCTTTTTCCTTGCTCTCCCCACAACGTCGACATCTTCACCCCGCATCGCCGCCAGCGATGTGGGCCGGTGGCTTCCCCAAGGTCATCGTGCTTGGGTCAGTGAGTCCTCGCATTGCGCTCGATCCTTGAGCCGCGAGCACCAGCCTTCCAGGCGGCGGATGCCGACTGCTCGGCCACGGACAGAAACACGGCAACTTTTCACACAACCGGCACCCAACCCCTGCACGACCGGTGCTCCAAAGTGCCCCATTCACCAAGGAGCGCATTTCGATTCCACCGTCTTGGGCGCCGTCGAGGCGCTCGACCTTGCGCGGTCCGTCTTTCAAGGCCTTCTCGCCAACGCCCGCGATGCACGGCATCCCCGCACGTCGCACGCCCTCCAAACCCCGGTCCAATTTCCTCGCGCGCACGCCCACCCGACGCCATCCTCGGCACAGCCAACAGAACCCACCGCAGACGAAATGTCGAACAGTCGCGACAGCAATTTCTCGCACAGGGCTTCCTGCTTGATGTCTTTGCCATCTCGTCCGCACGCCTTTATCCCTCCCATCCACCCCCTCCTCCCTGACCCCCACACACGTAATCCCTCTTCCGCCCATGACCCACCTTCAGATCGGCCCAAGCTGCCGCCGGACTGCCGCGCTCCCGTCGGCCCTCGGCCGCGCGCCCTCGCGATGCGCCTCAATCGCGGCAGGCCGGCCTTCAAAAGCCACCCCCAGTCCTTCGCCCCACCCAACGGGCGCCAGCGCGATGAGAAGACACTACGGCCGCTTGGCTGGCGCCACTTGCCGCGACTGCTGCAGGGGAGCGAACGAGGAGGGGCGAGGCGAAGGGGGGGGGCGGCGAGGGAGGCGTGGAGAGGTTGCGGTGGCCGAGGCCACCGTTTGTGCCCCTCGAGACAGCAATCGAAATTTTCTGGAGGAGTTTCACATGCCCGTTCGCATGTGCGCCATGGCGGCAGCGAAACTGCCGCCACGCGTGTAATGACCGCGAGATGTGGGCGTTCGCGGCTGTCAGAGTCCGTTACTCATTGCTCCGTAAGTGTTACACTAAGTATCAGTGTACACTGAGTATCAGTGCACACTGAGCAACTAAGGTACGGTACTGCACCTCGCATTTCACACCTGCAGAAATCGAGTGGCGCGAGGTGACGCCCAGCACTGTAAGCGTGTGCCGACGTTTCAGACCTGGGTTGATCGCTCTCAGTAGTTCTCATGGTGCATGTGCTTTGTGCTCCTCTTTTGGCAAGTTAATGAATCCATACTTACGATCTCACCCCGTGCTGCATGGAGTAGCTGGCCGGTTCATGGCCGGCCACCATGGAATGGAAGCCATTATGCAATGAGGAGTCATAACGCTTCCACCTCCCTGGTGGGGCAGCCATGGACCCCACCGCGCCCAGCGCAACCCGAGGTTGGGCGGGTGGGAGTCGCTTGCACGGAGCGCGATTCGCAGCACAGCCTGCATTGCGGCGGCTGCCACTCGTCAAACAGCTACAGCCTGTCGTGCCGCAGCATAATCTCCTAAACGCATCGTTGTGTACTACATGGACTGACGCTATTATTTGTCAACTCCTGGCACCGGATACTCTGCATCATCTTTTTGGTGCAAGGAAAGATGTCTCACACGCACTTGCGCGGAACAGAATGCTCTTGTACGTCCTGTTTTCTTTGGAAGTGATACAGATCTGAACTCCGTGCTCACCACCCCTGGTGGAGGCTCCTTCCCTTGCTCCAAGCAGGGACATTAATGACAAGTCGGCTTCGCTGGCTTCAGCCACAGACAGGCGTATCCGTTGCCAACGTATGCCACCAGTTGGGCCCGCGTAGGTCACGTGGACTCACGTGCCCCCCCAAGGCCCCCATCTCGGAATGCTCCATTGACATGTACGATCATGGGACATCCGCGGGCGGGACGGGCCCCTCCACGCCCATCAGCGGTGCCGTCATCGTGAAATTCAACCCCAATTGACGCGCCCATCCCGCACTCCGCGGAACACACGGGCAGCCGGGGGCCCTGCTGTGTCCGTCCCGGCCCCCCTGTTCCCTCCAACGTTCGGGCCTCATGTTCCTGAATTCATGGCGGGCACATTCGGTGGCGCGATGTGGCCTGTGCGACAAAGCGGCGTCCGCGACCGCCTGGCTCGATAAAGCCCCTTTCCGTGACGCGCCGCCCGGGGCGGCTACGAGTCGCAAATCCGCGCCCTGGGGCCAGCAACCAGGCTGCCCACACCCCGGCGACAACACTCCAACGACTCGCCCCAAATTTGGGGATTGGTGCCCCACTTTGCACCATTGGCGGCTCTTGGCAAGGGGCGCCAAGATTGAATACCGGAGGCTGATCCCAGCCCCCGCGAGGGCCCCCGGCCCGCCATGGCCGCCCGGATGCCCCTCGCCGCCGCGATCGTCCTGGCCTGCATGGAGGCGGCGCTGTGGCCGGCCGTCGCTGGCGTCCCAGCAGGTTGGGCCCCGGGCGCCGCGCGGCACGGTTGGGGGGCAACGCGCCTTGCGAGCGCTGCGGTCGAGCTAATGGCGACCGTGGTGATTGGGCGCGCCTGTCGCCGTTGGTCGGGCGAGTGTGTGCGCTGTGCAGCCTCTGATGCGCGCCATGTCGCGTGCTCGTCGCACAGCATGCTGTGCATATCCTGCGCAGGAAATATCGACTGCGTTGCGTACTGTCTATATCGACAGGAGACTCCCATATGTGGGAGCCTCGAGTGCAGAGAGGCTGGAGGCCCCACCGCCAGTGCGGCAATGCGTCGATTTTCATGCCCGATTGCCGCGCAGCCGCGCACTGCAGCGTGAACAAGCACTGGCTCTCGGATTCAGCATGCATGCCGTGCGGAGTCCATGTGATGACAGCGCTGCGGAGGACAGCGCCGGGGCGCTTGCCTTGCCTTCAGCCCGGGTGGCACGCGATGTTTGGCGCATGGACTAGCCGTGGACAGCCGCTAATCTCCGGCTGGCTGTGCGCTTCAATTGGGAGGGTGAACGCGTAAAGCGAAAGCCCACGCTTTTGTTCCATCGTTGGCGTTGCGCCCTGGACGATTTCCATCCCGTTCATTCGACGCCCCTGTGTCCTGCGAGAGAACGACCGTGCAGGCGGAGAAGGCGGCGGGAGTCACTTGTTGCGCGTACAAAAATCGCGCACCTTGCGCGTTCATACGTGCTGCCGTCTTCGCAGGCGCCCGACCGATGAGCGTAGAACTGTGGGGCAATCGTGGCCAAGGTATAAATGTTGTGTACCTACCTTCCAAAACAATAATCACCGCACCAACTCGCGTCCCGCATGGGCTCGTTTAGGGATGTCATGGCCATCTCTTGGGCATGGGCTAGCTGAGTTTCTGGACAAAATTCCGCCACCCTTTACAAAAGGTCCCAAATCGCTTGAATTTCCAATGCACTGTGCTGCTGACAGCAGGCCTCTGTAACGTAATTGTCACCAAGTTGTCACAAGACGCTGGTTGGTTCGTTTTTCAAGTACCAGAATTTTCTGCCCAAGATGTACGCATACATGCGAGTTTTTTTGTGTCCATCGTCTTAATGGGACCTCTTGTTGGATCAGAGCACGAGTTGTTCGTCCTTCCCCGCCGACACTTGAGCCAACCTGGACGGGGCAGCACAGCGCGGGTAAGTTCATGGCAGCAGCATCGTGCCCACCTTTCTCACCAATAGGAAACGACAGTATTGCCATGCCAACTGCACTGCCATTTGACGCCAATTGGAGCCATCGCAGCCACTATTATGCCATCGCAATCTCTGTGATGGTGCTGCATAGTGTAAGAATGGCATCGCAGCCGGCATCACCAAAGTGGCGTTCTCTGTTAGTGTCTGTTACAATGTGTATATTCAACAGTGTGCGCACATCGTACTTGCAAATGCATCAAGTGGCATGAAACAACTTTAGACATGTCTGAAGAGGAGATATCGTTGAATACGAATGTACTAGCTTGGGTGGCACTTCCGTGGATCCCCTTTCTACATGACAAAGCCCTGTTCTCGCCCCTCACGCACACTCGCCGAGATGACTATACTACATCATTATCGAGTACGATAGAGTATAGAGAATTATGAATTGAAGATGCTTCAGTCGAGAGGCATAGGGCAAGGCTAAGAAGATAGTCAAGAGCATTGTTTGTTGGAAGAAGATCCCCTAGATCCCCTCTTGACATTTTTCTGCCCCTTTCTCCCTTTTCTCTCCCTTTTCTCTCCCTTTTCTCCCTCTTTTCTCTCCCTTTTCTCACCCTTTTCTAACCCTTTTCTCACTTTTCTGCCCCAGTCCACCTCCAAGTCTGTTTCCAGCGCCCAAACGGACGTGTCGGCCGCTGTGGCGCGCGCCATCGCCCAGGCGGTCGCTGACGTCACCTCGGGCGGAGATGCCCAGGCCGCCGCAACAGCGGCCGCCACGGCCATCGGCGAAGCCACCGCCACGGCCACGGCCGAAACCACGGTCACTGCGGAGGTGCAGGGATCGGGCACGGCGTCTGGAACGGCGGACGCCAGCGCAAGGGCGGTGGCCGAGGTGGTGGCCGCGGCCATCGCGGAGGCCTTTGGGAGGGCCACCGGGGGGGACGGGGAGGTGGTGGCGGCCGCCCAGGCGGAGGTGTCCTCTAGCGCGGTGGCGGAGGCAGTGGCACAGGCGCGCTCAGAGGCGTCGTCGACGGGGGGATCCTCAGAAGCGAGTTCCAAGGTAAGTAACCGCTTACCAAGCTTATGAGGTTGGTAACACTCTGAGAGAGAAATTGACCATGTGAAGGGCACCGCTCGCGAGCAAAATGTGTGTGAGGTTCTTTTCCACAGGGTTGCAAGGCGAGTGTGTGGCGTGTGGGTCTCGATGCCAAATTGTGTGCCCCAATCAACCAAATGCGAGGATAGATCTGAGGCGCGCCAAGTTGTGTGGACGTGGGTGCGCGCGGCCTGGTGGGTGGGAGGTCGGCGAGGTTATGACGGGCAAGGAATCGGTGCCCACCGAAGATGGCCCAGGACGTGCAGGGCGTTGTTTAATTGCTCGTGAAGTTTGGTTGTCGGAAACTGATTGAATTGATGAATATCATATACAACTGTTGCGTTTGGATTATTGTAATTATGGTGCGACAAGTTCGTGTGTGAAATCTGGTGGGCTCTTGCAGAAGTCGCGCGATACATATAGTCAGGCTTGGTTTTTACGTTTACGTTTACGTTTTTACTTTTACGTTTTTACGCGTAAAAACGTAAATCTGCAAAAGGGCCTATTTTTACGCCTATGTTTACGTTTTTACGGCTACCTGGCACACGTAGATTACACGACAAAAGTTGCGTACAATGATCAGTCCTCCGCCATCTCCAGCATCCGCAACACAATGTCCACCTCGCCTTTGGCAAGGGCGATAATGACATTTAACAAAAACTCATCTTCTGCCTCTTCCAAGGCGTCTGCTGCCACTCTCCGGACTCTGTAAATCTGTATGTACTGTCCTTATGTACACCAGGCATTTATACGTTGTATTTACGTATTTTTACGCGTAAAAACATAAAAACTATTTTTACGCGGAAAAACGATCAGTTTGTACGGCTTAAAAACCAAGCCTGCATACAGTTGATCCTGCTTCGCCAGTAGCGGTGGAGAAATGTTCACTAACTTATTGGAAGTTGAACATGGTGGCGATATACGACAATGGCATAACAAAGAACGAACATTATTGAAGAAATGCTTCCCATCAGCATAAGTGGTAGCTATGAAGCCTGGGGCTTTGTCATTTCATGTTTGCGCCTTAGCAAACTCACTGATAGGTTACATGACAATGATGGCGCAATTAGAACAACGTAATTGACGCAATCTTAGAAAGGATGTCCTCGTTGCGCTGTAGGTCGTGGCCACGGCTGTGGCCCGTGTAGTTGTAAACGCCATTGCCAATGCTCTGGCTGTCATCTCAGGGTCTTCCTCAAGTGCTGAAGCAAATGCAGATGCAACAGCAGATGAGCAGGATGGGGCGATGCACGTCGAATCAGCTACCTCAGCTAACGTTGAAGGTAAGCCGCATTTCTGCTTGTTCAGCCTCAGTAGATATGCATCGTCAGCGATGGGCGACGTGTTTGTGGGTGGCTGTGTATCTTTTCTTAAGCGCACGCATAGCCCGCAAAAATACGCACATTTGCGCTGACATGAGTACGTCAAGGTAGACCTAAGTCTAAAAGCATTCAATTGGAGACCAAGTGGGCAGCGTCATCCCCTCACATGTGACCAAACAGGGTTCGCATTCACACTAGGCCCAATCACACATCCACACTGTGTTTACAAACGCGCAGGTCAGGGAAGTGCAAATGCTGAAGGGGATGGGACAGCCACGGGATCCAGCGCATCGCCGTCCCACCCCTCATCTCCCCTTCTCCCTCCTAACCCACTTCCACCCCCATCTCCACCCCTTCCACCGGCAGAGATGTTTACCCCTCCCCCACCCCCCTCGCCTCCCCCTCCATCCCCTGTTGTGTTCATATCTGCACCTCCTGTCGACTCTGCCCCGCCTCCGCCTCAAGCACCGCCCCAGAACCCATGGCCGGCCATTGAGGAGCAACAGCCCTCGCCTCCAGGCAGCGCGCCGGCGGCCTGGAGCGGCAGCCCGGCCAACAGCGATTATTGGGAGTATGGCGAATACCGTGGCGGTGACGAACATGGCGGGGAGGATTATGGGGATAGTGGCTCGGGGCACGGCGGCCTCGATTGCAGTGGCGGGATAACGGAAGGGGCCGTGTACATGGGCGGTGACATGGATCAGAAGGACCTCTTGGACGACTTCTCAAAAATACAGCCAACGGCCGAGGCGTGTTGTCAAGCATGTGCGAAAAATCCAGGTGGGAGGAGCCGGTGTTTTCCCCCTTGGACTACGGGGCGCGGTTTGTTGTTGGTTAATGCGCTTGATTGTCTCCAGGACATCATAGCCCGCTGAATTTTTGTTTGGCATTGCTATCCATGAACACTGAAATATTGCATCGTCGAGGCGATGATGGACGACCGTAATTCCGCACACATTGTTTTTCAGATTTGATGTGGACGCATGTAAACACAAACGCAACAAACTGAATGCTGACCAGAAGTGCAATGCTGAATGGTCGGCTGCACCGCTGGCTTCCTACGTGATCCTGCAAGGCCAACTCAAAGACGAAATTTCGAGTCTACTGGAGTCTTGGGACCTTCTGTGCACCTGTCGAAATTTCCGATCGTATAAAATGCGATATTTCAGCGGTCCTTGTTCACGTTTTTGAGAACGGCTGTATGCCTATTGCCAGGATGCGACCTGTTTAGCTGGGTGTCGAGCAGCCAGGAGTGCCTCCTCAAGGAAGACAATAAAAGCGCGAAGCACGGAATTCTGTTCGCCGTTCGGAGTGGCACATATAGTAAAACGCTCAGGGACTAGAAGAAGATGTAGTGGGAAGCTGACTGTTGCGAGTGAGCACGGGCAAATTGTGTGCTCGCGAGTTGTAGACTAAGCTTGAAATTGTGATTGGAGCTTTGTCGCATTTCCAGTGCATAGCGCTGTTCGGTTTCGCAGTGGAAACAACAGCTCTTGGAACTAACACCTGGCGATGCTAACAATAGTCCAAATTGGCACAGAAGTCCAGTGACAGCGATGGGTGTTCTAAATTGCTCATTACTCACATTATTTTTATCCCTACTATTACTATTGCTGATGTCATAACTATTTTTATTGACCTAAGTAGCTCTTTGGCAGCTGGATCTAATGACGATAACAATGATTTTGACGGCGGCGTGGTGTAAAAAGTTGTTCAGATAGTGGTCCTTGTTTGCATGAGCTCAAAGTCAATTTCGCCAGTATACTGTCATCGCGGTGCTTCTGTGCATGTATGAACTGCTGTGAAGCAAATGGACGAAAATTTTGCTGCCGAAATGCCGTGCTGCGTATGGTTCGATGCATGCACCTTAAATAACTAGACGTCTTGCGCAAATTGGCACGGAAGCAAAAAGTAATTGCAGAAGAGAAGATTGGTGATCAGGCTCGTCATTGACGGTCGTAATCACAGAGTGTGTTGGGTTTTTATGCGTAAAAGCAGCATTTACGTATTTGCGCGTAAACATGCGTAAAAACATGTAAATGCAGACTCTGCGTACATCAAGACAGTACGTACAGGCTCGGGAAGTCAGGGAGTGGAAGCTAGACGCTCTGGAGTGGGCAGTAAACGACCCTTTGTTCCACGACGTCGCCGCCCTTGCCGATGGCGAGGTTGACGCTATGTTGTGGTCCACAGCTTGTGGATGCTCGAGGGGACAGAGGACTAATCATTGCTTGCCACTTCATGAATTCATGATGTAACCTGGGTATCTCAACACATGGTAAAATACATAAATACAGCGGCAAAATAGCCGTTGCTGTGTGTTTACTTTTTATGCCTAAAAGCGTTTGCTGTCTGTTTACATTTTTATGCCTAATACGCAAGAGTAGTGTCGAAAACCTCAACAACAAGCCTGCATCATCGGATGCGTAGGTAGTATGGAGTTTACATTCCCATGTCTCAGAAAATCTTGCACGTCCGTGGAAGTCCGTGCATATTTTGGTATTGCCCAAGCTACCACTGACAAGACGGCAATTCGAGAATTTTTGCCTAACACATGTGTACAATGTGTACATTGTACAATGGCGCAACCTGAGGGCTTGCATAGGCACCTACACACACCAGGCTCACACAGTAGGTGGCGCAATGGTTGTCAAGCAAGTCAACGATATTGAAAGGGGGGCCGGTTCACTCTACATTCGTTATTCGACAATACGCCGTCGCTCTTTGTCCGCCTTCTTTGTTCCTATTTGACGTGTCCTGCTGTCTCGGTGTTAAGCCGGCATTGAGACGGGGATATGGATCGCTTCGAGTGCATTATCGCCAACCCGGGCCATTGCAGAACGAAGGCGAATAGTTGGCCCATGATGCGTTGTGCGTGCAACAAGTTTGAGACTGCCGCTGCTACGCAAACGCAATTTGAAGTGCTGGTGTGCCGTCGCAAATTTGTCTTGCATTCGTGCTGAGACTCGCCAGCAAGCATGGCATCGCCCCCTGAAAACTGCGCATGGGTCGGTCACAAACAGACCAATGCGCTCCCACACACCAGTAGAACACAGCCTGTTTGCGATGCCAACTGCGATGCCATTTTGACACAAATTGATGCCATCACAGCCCCTTTTATGCCATCGCACTCACTGTGACGGTGTCAATTTGTGTCAAAATGGCATCGGAGCTGGCATCGCAAACAGGCTGTTTTCTACCAGTGACGACCTTCTTGAGAGTGTGAAAGGTAATGAGGGTCTCAGAATGCACGAATTTGATGAGAACGGATTCATGTGCGATGGCATCAGAAATGAAGTCCACATCGTGGGGACTCAGGCCACACAATACAGTGATGTCATACGAGCAAATTAGCTAGCTTGGTGTCAATTACTGGATCATCGACAACCGGGCGCCGAGTCCATGGGCGTCCACGGTACTGGCTCAATATCGTCTTGTTGACAAACGTGCCGCCAATATGTCTGGGCCATCTACAAATTCCTCACAGCCAACTCCTCCTTAACCCCACACGAAACTTGCAGTCATACCCACCACAAGGAAGCACTGCGTATCATACATCGCCGCAACTGTGCGGAATGCGTGCGAGAGCAACTCACATTATTAACATTCCCTGGAGAACGTCTCTGGATGAGCCGAAGGCAAAGGCCCCAGGGCGCGGCAAACAATCTCCACCGTTCCATCATCCGGCACGTCAACACGCCAGCCAGAAGCCACTGATGGCATCATCAGGCTTCGTTTCAATTCCGTTCCGTTACCTTAAGTTAGTGTCCAGCCCGCTTGCTTGATCAAGCACTGATGAAATGATCACATTCGTCTAACAACCAGTCATGCTCAGTACGTGGCGGCCTGCTAGCTGTGATCCTCTCGCCGTCTGCCTGCTCGACTAGATGATAGCAGAACCACGCACAACCGTTCGGTCAATCGCCACGCATCGCGTTCACACCCTCCATTCCACAACGCTGACACCTCCCCTTCCCTCCTCCACCGCCGTGAGGCACAAAGCCCACCGCACTCCCAACATCATTCATTCAGCCGCTAGCCTCTTACTCGCACGCCAACAGAGTCAAAATGCCCCCCCCCCCCCAATCGACTCCTCGACCATCCGTAACATCGATGTCACGGATCCCACCGACGGACGCACAATCAACCCCTAATCCAGTATTACGGACCTTGTAGTTCAATGCCGAGGCCGCGCCTTCACAAGGATGTCTTGCGCCCCACCTCGATTGCTGCTCTCGCCACGCCCCCCGCCGTCTCCCCTCTCCTCTGACCCAAGCCCACCATGCCCCCTCTGGTCCCCAACACAAAGGCGTCCCACAGCGTCCGGCTGTCTTCCGTGGAGGAAGACGGGCTGGAGAACGCCGACGAATCCCCCTTGGACCATCTGACGTGATGCGACGAACGCCCGGCGCCGCCCGGCCGCCCGCGCACCCCAGCGGCCACCCGGGAGTCTTCAGATTCATCGACATCCCATCTCCGGGTGGGACAGAATGAGTTCGGGCTCGAGCTGTAGCCATCCCTGCCGTCCAGCCCCAGGCGCAGCTGCAGCGCCCTGTTGGAGATCCCCTTGCTCAGCAGGTCGTTAAGTTTCACATGAGGGTCCAGATCGAAGGACCGGGAGCGGGAGAAGCCGCCCCGCATGCGTACCGCGGACAGGAGGGCCACCACGATCGTCACGCCCGCGATGGTTGGCACAAGGATCATCGCCGCGGACACCTTGAGCTCCCGGCTGCTGCTGCCGACCGCGGAGACATTGCCCTGCGCGGGCGCCGCCATCATTGGCGCCACAACTGGTCCGCCAGCTTCCGGGCGCTGGCCGAGATTTCGGGCTTGTTGCAACAATCCCAAAATCTCAGCCACCTGGGAATCATCGTCGCCCCCACTGGCGATCTTGACCACATCTGCCGCGGTGTTGCCCCTTCCGTCTACTCTCGCAGGATCCGCGCCGTGCCTTAAAAGGATTTCGACCAAGTCCGGGCGCGTGAGGGCGCTGGCCATGTGCAGCGGCGTGGCCCCGTTGTTCAGAGGGACGGTGGCAGAGGCGCCGCTCTCGATGAGGAGCAGGACGACGTCCTTGTGGCCCCTGTGGACCGCGGCATACAGGGGCGTCGCGCCCTTGAGGGTGCCGGGGAGGTTTGGGTCGGCGCCGTTGTCCAGAAGAACCTCCACCACCTGCGAAGCAATGGGCAGATGCAGGGTGTATGCCAGGGTTGGGGAAGCTTTGCTCACCATGAATATGATGCAAAAGTGTGAATGGAATGAAGCGCTGCTGAAGTTTAGAAGTGTAGAAAAGAATTGATGCCGTGCAACGAAGGCCTACCGCAGTGCAAATCTGCTTGTTCACCACTCTCCGTCAACACTGGATATTTAGGGAAACTTTGTTTGGCCTATAGCAGGAAAAGTCATGTTGGCGATGCCAGCTGTGAAGCCATGTGACAATAATTGGTGGCGTCACAGTTACTTTTGCACCGTCAGTCACCATGATGGCGCCACTTGGTGTCAAAATGGCATCGCAACTGGCATCGAAGAATGGTGTCTTCTGCTGGTGCTAAGTAGCGATGGAGGCAACATGTTGACTATAGGCTGCATCAGGGGGCAGTACTTGCCCCGGCAACACTTGTGTCACTCCGGAGTGACTCACCTTGATATGTCCTAGAAAAGCTGCTTGCCACAGTGCCGTCTGTCCTGTCCGCTTTGTCCCACTGTTCGGAGAAGCGCCTCTTTCCAAGAGCAACTCGACAAGGCGAGCGTGATTGTTGTGCGCTGCCGCCAGCAGTGGAGTTGACCCGAGCCTGGATTCTGCGTCCACTTCTGCGCCTGCAAGGGTAACAACCTACAGTATAGTCACATTGACTTCGCGATCCTATTGGAAAATACCCCACAACCGGGCTCAATTTCCTGCCATTTTGCATGCACACGTGTTCCCAAGTTAACGGGCCTGCAAATCGCGACTGCCACTGCTTTTTCCTCAGCCGAATGCACACAATGCACTCGAAAACTCACAATATCCCCTCCCTTGATGGGGTCACTGCTCTGCCCTCTGCAAATCCTATCTTTCATGGTAAAGACCGTTTTGAATCTATCCTTGCCACTCGCCGGCGTTCAGATTTTCATCTGTGTTGGAGCACTGTACGAGGAGAGCCTGCCTGCCAACCGCCTTTACACCAAACCATTCTTGTTCACGAATCAAAAAAAGTTATGCTCTCTCCTGCCTTCGTTAGTGCCTTGTTCTTTTGATAACTTGACCAGAGCGTCCTGCCCCCAAAACCACCGAAGCCCTGTCCCTCAACCCCCATCATCCACATCCCAGGCGAGCATATCACTAGGAGAAAAGGGCCAATAACACGTGTTCAAACGTGTACAGAGTTTACGGGTTCGGGCTATTTACGTGGTTTTAGCACGCATAACGCTGGTGAGATGCATATATGTGTGTTCGCCAAAAATTTATTGGTCCCTTTTTTGCTCGTGTATACACATCCAAGTACTGGATACTGAAGTAATTTAGTACACCCAAAAAACACGAAAAGTTCACCGGGCCTCCCGATTCCCAACGCGCGTCCACCCACTGTCCCTTTTTCCACACATCCTGGCGGACTTCCGGCCCATGGCCTCCATGGAGACATGTCTCCGGAGACATGCGCAGGCAGGCATCCCCATCAATCCAACCGCAGCATCCGAATGCGGGCGCCACCCGCCACCCACCCACCCACCCACCCAGACGGCCGAAAAGAAGACGCCACCCACCACCCCGTGCTCCCCGCTCGCGCCCCACACCCTTTCCGTGCACACGTCCCGCGCGGCTCACCCGCGTCCAGGAGCAGCTCCGCCACCGCCCGGTGGCCGTTCTGCGCGGCCACGTACAGCGGCGTCGTGCCGTTGTGGTTCCTCTCGTCGACGTCCGCCCCGCCGCCGATCAGCTCCCTCACTTCGGCCCCCTCGCCGCGATACGCCGCGACCCACAGGGCCGAGGCCGTCCCCCTGGCCGCCCTCCTCCGCGCCCGCTTCTCTTCCCCATCCCCGTCGCCGGACCCGTTCACGGGCTTGATGGCTTCCAAGGAGACTTCGGGCACCGCAGGCGGGGATCCCGCATCGCGGTCGTTTTCCCGGGCTTCTGTGAAGGCCCTGTCGAAGGCCTGCAGCCGGCGGCCGATGCTCCTCTGCGAGGGGACATCGGTGGAGGCTGCGGATTTGGCGCTTGCAGCTAAGGGCTCGACGGCGCCGAGCTCCAGCGCCGCCCGACGCCGTCTAACCGCGCTGCCCGCCGGGGAGCCTGGGGATGCAACAGAAGGAAAACAGCCTGAGTGGGGCTTGGACGGAGGGAGTTTGGCCTGCGCCTCGGCGGCGAGGGAGGGCGGGAGCGGCGTGGACGGGGGCCTGAAGCCGCGCCACCTCGCGGGCTGCACAAGGACGGGCCCCACAGACCTGAGAACGGTGAGCTTGTCACGCGACTGGAAGGGCGGCCGCAGGCGGGGCAAGGCGCGCGTCAGTAGGCGGCCGTTCTGCCCGGCCCGAGGGCGCCATGTGCTCGCCGTCGGCAGCCGGATGGCGGGGAGGGACGCGCTGATCCGCGACTTGGCCGCGTCCAATCCGACGCGCGGGAGCCCGAATGCATGAGGGTGCATGATGGGCATGGACCCCCGATTGCGCTCCCCACACCTGCATGGATGTCGCCCGGTGACGCCGCCGCGAGTACCAGCCACAGCGCGAGCAGGGCGTTGCGCATCGGTCCCCCCGTAGCTAGCCCCCCTCCTGCGCGGCCCGCCTGCCAGCCGCGATCCCGGAGGACCACTGCCGCGGGGGAGGGGAGGTGACGCATTTGAGGGCCGGCATCGGGGGGTTTCTGACGGGCCGCCCACGTGGTTTCTGTCCTAATTCGGGTTTGCAGCCCCGCAACGTTGTTCGGGATTGTCACTGCGCAACATTAACGTGTTCGCGCGGGGACGATGTTGATTGAGGGGGGTGGCAGATTAAATCACCCACATGCACCAGCAAAACTCACCACAGTCGCAATGCCAACTGCGATGCGGTTTTGACATTTATCGATGCCATCACGGCCACTTTCATGACATCACAATCGCAGCCGTGGCATCCATTAGTGGCAAGTAGCATCGCAGTTGGCGTCGCACAAATGATGTTTTCCAGTCGCAGTGTGTCCGGGGCGCAATTCGTGGGGCCCCCACAACGCTGCTGCAATCGTGAAAGGAAAGTAAATTAAAATGTTGAAGCAGATCGTGTTGTTAACACGATCCACAAGTCCACCATTGTTGCTTTGTTGAATGGCCATCGCGTGTGACTGCCAAATATGGCTGGTGAGTCACGGCCACGTTTGTATTTTCTAGAAAGAGTGTCCAATCCAGATCCCCAGACAAAGGGATCCCAGAGACACACAACAACCCACTGCTATTCCGGCTGCGAAAACACAGATCAGCTGGAAACAAACTGGACTCGAGACTGGACCAGCAATCATGCTGGTTACGGGCTGTGATGTGACAGGAGCTACGTTCCTTTCCTGTCCGGCCTGATTACGCCGAATACGCTCAGAATTCCACAGAAAACTGAGCTGTCCTTTAATGCGGGTAAGCTCCCTGGCTATACCCGCCAGCTGCAACCCTTCGCCACGCATAAAGGATGACAGATCACGCCAATACCGATTGCACACCTTCAGAAATGATCTGATAAGACGTGCGGTGAGGATATGACTGCTAGCGAACAGGTTTATACTGAGCAATGTCAGGAGTAGATCACCCACAACCTTCCAGAACTTCGACAGCTGGTCGAAGTCAATGAACTTGTCCAGCCATTCCTTCGGGCTGGTACCTTGTCTATGTGCAGTGCCTAAAGACACCAGAACATCATCACCGTATATCTTAATGTCCAGTTTTTCTGTCACTTAAGATAAAAGCGTAATGCTTTTCAGTCGAGCTAGTTCTCGAAGACTTTCTCAGACAGTTCTTTCCAGCTCTTCCGCAGCTGGCAAGCCTGGCCCCTTGTCAATGATTGTCTTTGATCTTCCTGTATGTTTTTCTGCAGGTTATCTTTCACAGGAGCAGGAGGGCACACTACAGTACTGGGCTTAGAGGCGGGCGTCAGCACTAGGGGAGTACTGCTGGATTCGACAGCGTTTTTTTCAACTTGACTCATGCCTCTTGGTCTTTCATTGGTCAGGATCCAAGTGACAATGAGTGGTGCATTTGTATGTTCTCAATTCTGTAACGAACTCACACCTTCACCAGCCTTTGCCTCCTTCCAGTACTGGACCTCACTGAGGCAGTACTTTGTCAGCTGCGAGCTGGCCATGATTAAGCGCGGAATCTATTCAACTTTCCCTTTCCTTAACTACTTACCTTCCTGCCTTTCCACTTCCAGCCCCTTTCGGTTCGGTCGAATGTAGATTAGTTTGTAGCTCAACAAACTTTCACTCCTGATCACCTTTAGTCACCACCAAAATGCAGCAGCTGCCTTGGGAGCACAGCTCTAGGCTGTAAACGCTCAGCCGTATTGTATACTTTAGTAATGCGTGATTTGTACTGTAAGATAACTATAGCTCAGCACCCCAGATTTCTCTGAGGGTGTTTTTCTGGGGCCCCGTAGGCTTCCCAGTCTATTACGTTATGTGCAATTACTATTAAAGTGCGCTTGGGGCCCCGCAGGCGTTCCCAATAGGACACACTAAAAATAGCAACACTCTAGACGCGCTTGGGGCCCCGCAGGCGTTCCCAACAGGACACGTCACAAGTGCAGTAGAGCACTCACGTAATGGAGCTTTTCGTTACTC